CCAAGTGGCAGCATCAATGGGCTCAAGCGTGGCAACAATTGTGAGGTTGGCCCAGAACCAGGCAGTGTTTCATTCTGTTGTGCATAGGGTCGCTATGAGTCAGTACCGACTCAATGGCGCCTAACAACAACAACATATATCATATTTGGACTCCTAATATCAGTAAGGTCACCACTGGACTGTGAACCACAAGGTTAGCAGTTCAAACCCACCAGCTGCTCCTTGGAAATACAATGTTGTTGTTGTTAAGTGCCGTTGAGTTGGTTCCAACCCATAGTGGCCCTGTGTAGGGTTTCTGAGAAGCAGCTGGTTCACTTGAACAAACAACCTGCCGTTCAAAAGGCTTTGCAGTCTGGCGCATTAACCCACAGCGCCACACCAGGACTCCATGGAAATGCTATACAGGGTCTCTATTAGTCAGAACTGACTCAATAATACTTAACAATAACAGCATATATCTTGTTTAAAAAATCACTTCAAAGTGAAAAAAAATTAAGAAATATTCAAATTTAAAATGAATATTTTTATGAAAAGCTCTCAAGAAGAGATTTACTTATTTTTACTTTACATTTAACGTAGTGATATACTTTTTTAGAACAGGAATATGATTACTGGCATCACTTTGAGATATAAGGCTTGAAATGCATAACTATACAAGTATAAACAAAAGACACCATAAGAAAAGATTTTAGATGGACTTCTGCAACTCCCCCACGGCCCCCTAAAGTGGTAGTAAATAAATAAATATGAGAGAATATCTAACTCCGCCCCCACCCCCCCAAATAGAACAAAACAAAAAACATGTCTGCATGCCAAGGACCAGGCAGTGGTGGGTCAGTGGTAGAGTTCTCACCTTCTATACACCAAACAGTTGAGTTCCATTCCTTACCAATGCATCTCATGCATAGCCACGACCTATGTTAGTGGAGTCTCACATGGTTCTATAAAGCTGAACAGATTTCAACAGCGTTTACAAAGTCAGTTGGACTAGGAAGGGCTGGCAATCTACTGTCAAAATACTAACCAATGAAAACCTCATGGAGCACACTAGTCCACTCTGCAATCAAACATGGGCATGATGGAGGCCCTGGTGGTGTTTTGTTGCGATATTTTTAATCTAGTATTTTCCTAGTGATATTTTTATTCTAGTAAGGTAATGACCGTTTCTATTATATTTGTGCTTTGACTTTGGAAAATATATATTTTTAATGAAGCTTTGCCTAGGGTTACCATGAGTTGGGAGCCAACTTAATGGTGTCTGATAACAATATGCCCTAGAAAAACAATATCTCTTTTAACAATTCTCCAGAAACAAAAAATAGGGAGACATGGAGTGCTGTTTTCACTGCAGCTATGTTTGGTGGCTAGCACTTTCACCAATACTGTGCTTGCTTGCTCTGTCTCTTTCTTTTCTCTACCTTCATAGCTTTTCCCTTATTCTCCACTTGTTTGCCTCTTCTCTTTTTTTATCTCCCTCTTTATAATTTTCCTTTTTTTTTTAATTTATTTCTTCTTTTCCTTTTGCCCTCTTTCTCTTCTCTCTTCTCCTTTTTAGAAATCATAGGAGAGGTGACCCCCACTACCTCCATGTACAGTAGCACCATCCCAGACCCTCTGGCTTAGTGGTACATGATCCTGCGAAGTTAAGTGCCACATTCCACTGTAGCCCTGTCTGTTAGCTAGCACGTACTTCATTATTGTGCCACTTTTGTCCCCCTTTTTAACTCATGTTTCTATTTATTTTTTCTTAGATCTTCCCTCTTCCAAGCTCCTTGTGTTTTTTCTTCTCCACCCACCCCCACTACTTTTTTTGTTTTTCTATGTTAATGAGAGCCAGCAACCTACCCATCCATCCCTACTACACTGCCACCAGACCCACTGGATAGATGACACAGGGCAGCTAACACCTACCAACCCTCCCTCAGGACCAGTGAGTGACCAGAAACTAATGCCCACACTCTACTTCCGACCAAATTCACTCAGAGACACGTGGTGAGTGTATCAGTGCTGCCAAACTTGAACCTGCACCATTGTTGCCCAGATAAATGAAAACAAAACAAGCAGGGTGAAGCAAATGAACATAAAAGGAAATTCTAAAAAGTTTATTGAACAAAGAAGAAGCAAGTTCACTTAAATAACCAGGGGAAAAATAAAATAATAGACAAAAAATAATAACTCATACATGATATCTGTGAATATATATAATATTTAAATGTTCAATAATTAGTACTTAGAGGTCAAAAAGAAATACTCAATTTGTTTAACTCTGAAGTAGAAGAGGACTCTAAACATAGTAGAAGCAGATACTTTTAATTGTATTCTTTTTTTTTGTACTGATATTTCTCTCATGTGTACATATTAATTAAAAAATATTTCTTCACTATATAGATACTTAATTTTTGCCCTTTTTCTCCTAAGTACAGATAAAAACACAGATTTCCCTCAGAAGGTAAATACCAGCAGTCTGACAGGTAACGTTCCCTTTTTATTTCTAGTCTGTTACTCTTAGGGATGACCTGGAGTTTTGAATAGCCTCTTTCTCCAACCATCCACATTACATAATAAACCACAATCTGGGAGAGAAAGGTATGAGAATGGACAGGAGACTCCCTTCCCAACTGTCACATCATCATAGTGAATGATACTGAAAGGAAGGATGAATGGAGCAATTTTCACAGGAAAAACGAATCGTGTTGCAGCGAATCAAAACATTCATTGTCATTGGCTCTGGATCATATGCTATCTCTTGAAATGGTTGAACAGTGAGTGACCTTTTCTTCTTGGTACAGTGACTCTGTGTATCCCCTCCATCTACTTTTGGTGCTTTTCATTTAATATTTTGCCCATAGAATCCTTCAGTATTGCAAGTAGAGGCTTGGATTTTTATCTCAGTTCTTTCAACCTGAGCAATGCTGAGCATGTTCTTCTGTTTTGGTTTTCTAACTTCAGATCTTTGCACATTTCATTATAATATTTGACTTTGTCTTTTTGAGCTACCATTTGAAAATTTCTGTTCAGCTCTTTTACCTCCTCATTTCTTCCATTTGCATTATCATCTCTATACTGGAGAACAAATTTCAGAGTCTCTTCTATCATTCACTTTGGGCTTTTATTTCTTCCTTGCATTCCTCATTACCTTTTGCTTTCTTCCTGTATGATGTACTTTTTTGAACTGAGTGATAATTTAGATAGGAGAACATCCATTTTACATGCATCATTTTATTGCCTTGATTACAATCCCTTCCATCCATCATCATTCAACAGTATTTGATTTTTTTTAGATGTACACAAAAACACTCAGGAACATATAATCATTTAAACAACCCAAGGGCACATTCTGTCAGCCTACCTCCTGGCCACCAGCACACAGGCTGTCTCATTCCAAGAGTCTAGAGTTCTCAGCTGCTTTATCTCACCATGTCCTCATCTCTGCCTCCATTTCCCTTCATTGTCCTAGTGTCCTCTGTTCCTGATCTGTAAGACTAACTAACTCCCCCTTTATGTTCCAAAACTTCTGTTACAGTTGTGACAATTGCAATTAGTCATGATAATAATTACTCATTATTGAATCATAAGAATCTTACCCCCATAGACAAAATGAAAACTATTCAGTGGGTTTCTACCTTCCCTGGCACACTCTGAAACTAAACTTCTTCTTGAAAACTTGTAAGCCGATCACTTTGTACCTTTATAGCTCCCCTTCCCCCATTTTAGGTAGCCAATGTCTAAGTTATCCATCCCTATCAACTATGTATGCAGAGAAGATAGAATTGATATTTGGTGTGAAGACTCCGTTCCTCTCAAGTTGGTATTTTGAGCCACTACATCCTTAAGTGCAGGTCAAGTTCATCAAATTGTAGCAATTTACACTTGTTTCCTTTATCAATTTTTCTTTAATCCTCCTCTAGTCAAGTTCTGATCATCAAGCAATTAACGTTAGGTCAAATGGTTACTAGTTTGGGCATTCTTGTGCATCTCCTCTCACTTCATATTAGCTGGACACTTCACTCTCAGCTCTAGCCCTCCATGGCTATGTCCTTATCCATAAGTTCAGGAGTCCCCAGGTCTCATCACACTTTAGACCAACCAGCCCTTCCTCTTCTCTCTCTCATCTCCAGGTTGACAGAAATCTACAGCACATGGTCAAACTCAGCCCATATCTTCATTGCTACCTTTTCCCCTCTTTCCCTCACCAGCAAGTTTACAAGCCTGCTCATGTGTTTCATTTGAATTTCAGTCTTGGACGGGAGTTTGTCCTGAAGGGACTTGAATGCTTGCCTTGATGGCTTCCTGGCAAACAACTTAATTGTTCTTGTAGTAGCCAATCTGACTGCCATTTTTGTTTTTGATTTTTCCTGCTGGCCTTTCTTTCAAGAAGTATCTTCTGTTTCTCTAGCTGCTCCAGGCTGGTCTGCTTTTCGTTTCAAATGGGAATGTCATACCTCAAGAGGTTCTGGATGGGGCTCAGGATTCTATCTAAGGTTCTATACACTGCAAAGGCTGCACAAGAAGCTTATTTTACTGAGCAAGTTCTAGAACCCCTTTAAGGTATTCCAATCAGTTATAGGCTGAAGATGGGCTTAAAACGTTCTGTAATCATGTTTCCTGATATTCCTTTCTATCCCACTCAATTGTATATTTTACAGTAGTAGGAAGAGAAACCAATATTGTATGATGTTCTTGATGGCATCCAACAATTCTGGGTTTTGGTCACTAATGCCTAGGCATCAAGTCTGATCACTAAATTCAGGTGACATATGTTCAAGGTCATATATAATCCTCATGGACTCTTTTTAATATTCTCCAGCTTTAGTATGAGCTTGCATTTGAGCAATTTATGGTATGTTCCATAGTCTGTCCTTGGCCTTGTTTTGGAGCTTTTCCACCATCTCTTTCCACAGATGTACTTTATTTGATTTCTATGTATTACATCTGGTAAAGTCCTTTTATAAAATCATCTTTTGTGTTGTTTAAAAAAGGGATTTGCAACACATAAGTCATTGGTCTTGCAAAATCTGTCATGCAATTTCAAGCATCATTTTTAATCAACAAGGCCATGTTTTTCAACTACTGATATTTCTTTTCTGTTTCCAACCTTTCCATTCCAATCACCAGTAATTATCAATACATCTTACTTGCATGTTTGATTAATTCCAGACTTAAAAAGTTGGTAGAATTCTTCAGTTTCATCTTTACTGGCTTTAGGGGTTGGTGTATAAATTTGAATGATAGTGGTATTAACTGGTCTTACTTTTAAGTATATGAGTATTGTCCTACCACAGCGTGCATTTCAAGATCAATCTTGAAGTGTTCTTTTTGATGATGATAGTGGTTCCATTCTTCTTCAATTTGTCATTCCAAACATAGTAATCCATGTGATTGTCAGATTCAAAATGGCCAACAACAGTTCACTTAAGCTCACTTCATACATTCCATATCCCAATTATTATTGAATGTTTGCAGCTATTTCTCTCTCATTTTGAGTTATGTCTCACCAGCAAATGAAGTCCTGAAGGCTTTACTCCATTGGTACCATCAAGATCAACTCTACTTTGAGGAGGCAGCTCTTCACTAGTTGTATTTTAAGTGCCTTTCAACATGAGGGATGCATCTTCTAGCACTATATCTGACAATATTCTGGTGCTCTTCATCTTGTCTCAATATTCAATATTCTGGTGCTATATGGCAGTGTTTCACTGCTATTCATAAAGAGTTTGGTGGTGAGACTTTCTGAAGTAGTCCACATTTCTGTCTTCCAACTCTGTCTTATTCTGGAAGCTCAGCTGAAATTTCTCTACCATGGGTGACCCTGCTGGCATTCAAAATACTGGTGGAATAGCTTTAGCATCTCAGCATCATCCACCATAGTATGAAACACTGACAGATGAGTGTTAGCTTTTTCCAGTTAGTGAAAATTAATTGAGAATTCACATATATGTATCCTGTAATTCTGAAAGTCAGAATTTAAAAATGTAAAACTTTATTCTCCACAAAAATTAAACCAAACCCACTTCCAAGGGTCAATTCTGAATCAGTGATGCTGTATAGTGTATCTTAGACTGTAATTCTTTGTGGGACCAGAAAGCCAAATTTTTCTCCAAAGGAACTGCCAACATGTGACCAACTGTCAAAGTACTGATCCTACAGACCCACCAGGGCTGGAATCCTATCTCTATGCCAAGAAATATGCAAATTAATGAATTAATCTTACTGCTATTGTGATTAAGAGAGTTTCATTTTAATCATGAGGCGTTACTTGTCAAATACCTATTTGTATATTTGTTGCGATTCACCATTTTTGTATTTCTTAATGTTTAACTTATTTTCATTACATTTTACCTCAGGAAATAATTATAAGTGCTCAAGTGACTGGTTGTTGAACCAAGGGAAATGTTACTGGTTTTCAACTTCTTTTAAAACTTGGAAGGAAAGTCAACATGATTGTGAAAAGCTACAAGCGCATTTGCTCGTGATTCATGATTTGAAGGAACTGGTAAGGAATTAAAAACAGGATTAAGTCCTCAAGGATGAATTGCTAAGTGCAAGATTTGTGTCATTGATGTTGAATATTTGTTAGTCATATTGTAATAAAGATTTTTTAAATGAATAAATCAAACTATTCTTTATTTTAAAAAAAAGAAACAAATTCTTTACCATTTTGTGAATGTTTAGCACAATTCCTTTCTTTATAGAAAACATTTTTAAAAGTTTAAATAGATGAATTAATGAATGCACTATTTTCCCTGCAGATTTTCATACAAAACACTATAAAACCTGGACATCTTGGTTGGATTGGATTACACATTACATCTGAAGGAAACCTTTGGACGTGGATAGATGAGCACTTTTTAGACCCACAATTGTAAGTTGGTTATGTGTGTATGTGTGTGTGAATTTATGTTTTATTTATAGAAAGATATTTATAAATTAAGTTTATTTTCCAGCCTTTCCCCCCTTGTTTCCTCTGTCTCTCCTTTTCCCCTCTCCTCTGTTCTTCCTTTGTCCCTCTTTCTTCTTTCATTAATTTTTTTTCTGTTCTTATTTTTAACATTCATTAACATTGATAAATAGGTATAAAAGCTATTTATAATGACATGTAATAATTCCCAAATGTTCAAAATATGATAAATATTTTTGAAATGTTAAATTGATTTAAGCTGCATCTTAAACAATTTAAGCTAATATTTCTGTATGTTTAATACACAGGTTATATCCATCTACACATTTTTTTAAATCTAGAATATGTAGTTCTCTCAAGTTGGAAATAGAAATTGTGAATTTGAATTTATGCCTTTAGAAGATTCAACTAAACAATGTAAATCTTCTTATCTACATAAAAAATCAGTGAAACATTCTTCATAATGTTTCTATATGACTAATATTAAATCTTGCATGTATGAATGCCCTAAAATTCTTAATTGGCAGTGTATGGAGAGAGAGAAGTTCATTTTCTAAACAGTAGACACTTGTTTCTTTTGGTGGTAGAAAAAACTGATGGGTATGAATTGTGCACAGTTTGATGAAGGTCACTAAAGTAAACACAAGATCAAAACACTTTTTCATAAGTGTTATTGTTTTTAAGTGCCATTGAGTCAGTTCTGTATCATAACGACCTGAATAGGTTTTCTGAAGAGCAGCTGGTGGGTTTGACCTTGTAGCTCAAAACTGACCTTGTGGTTCTGGCCTTATTCTGAAGCACTATGTGCTAGCACATGTCTAATTTGTTGACAACATCATTAATGC